TCCTTCCCAATAAAACTAGAAGTAACTGGTGAATAGTCATAATCAGGTTTTGCATGGCAAGCAAACAGCAAAGAAGGGCGATTAAAACATTTCGCGGGGGCATTTTGCTTTGCGACAGTCCTTGACCGGAAACGACATCAAAGGAAACGGACTGTCACGAAATATCGGTATCTATTTCGATTGATTGACATTTGCGGTTACACAAATAATTCGCACGCTAATACGAAAACAAGAAATTCGCTGTTACAAAATTTAAAATTTTTTTTACAAATACCGAACCAAATTTTTCGGTGTAGTACGAACAGGGCCTTACTAACTCCAAACTCGCGCTGACTCGAACCAAAATCGATTTCCCCTGGATTTCCGTCATATTTTTGCTGTAATTTTATAATTACCCTCGGTAACTCGAACCCTCGATAACTCGAACCTCCCGCTAACATTTGTGTTTAGTCAGATTAGCTAGATGAATAAATGAATTACCTTTACCAGCTCTTCGATCGAGTTCCTGGTGGCCAGGGCAGTGGCTTCTTCTTCATTTTCTTCCTGGAGTTTTCTCCACCAGGAATTTGTCAACGGAGTTGACTGATCGTCTCCACTGACAACACTAGCGTCTGTACGCTTGGATCTAGCCTAATCTCTTCTCCATTGTCAGAGAAATCACCACTTCCCAATTACATAGTTAATTTTTCAACACAGAGTGGACAGAAAGGAAATAACGTGGCAATCGCCCTCGAGAGAATACGTGTCTCATCGGATTGTTAATCTAAAACTTGCCAATACGGTTGTCAACACACCTGTCAGTAACCTATATAATCCAGATATTCCCAGAACAGAACTTCTGAAAACAAAGCGTCTTTTTTACTGACAATCGCTCGCCAGATACTGGAAGTTTTCTCGCGCGGGCCTCGCGTGGACATGGCCAATCTACAGACGAATTTGAAGGCAAAATGTTGACATCGAATTGTTCTGTAAAATGTACTACAGTCGGCCGTTTTCTCCAATTTATTATTTTTTTTCGCATACAAGGTACTGTAACTCGTTATTCCTTGTTTTGAATCTGTCAACACTTTTCAAGCATGGAAACAAAGCATATTTCACTCACCGGCAGGCTGCACGCAGAACAAGTTAATTTTTATATCGCGCGAGCCGCGCGCTATCGCAGAGGAGCGTTCGGGTAATTTTTTAGATTAATTTTTATTTTTTTTAAATTTTAAAAATAATTAGTACAATATTAACTCCATTTGATATTAATACAATTTAACAAAAAAGTAAGGTCCAGTCCAGTCCAACCCAGTCCAGTCCAGAGTCCAGTCCAGAGTCCAGTCGATATTTTCCAACTGGCCCGACCTGGACAAACTTAAACCTAGAAAAGCAGCTGGACCCGACGAGATCCAAGCCAAAGACCTTATCGTGGCTGGTAAATCTGCAATCGACGGCCTAAACACAATTTTCCATAAAAGCCTAAAATATTCCAGATTCCCATCAAAATGAAAATTGGCTCGCGTCGCTGCTATCTTTTAGAAAGACAACCAACTCGATCCGGCAAATTACAGACCGTTCTCCATGCTCAGCCTGCCCGGAAAACTGCTAAAGAGTCAGTTCTGTCGCGTGCTAGACGAGCACCTCCAGATACATAATCTCTACAGCAACAACCAATGGAGATTTTGGAAAAGTAGATCAACCGAAACCCTGCTAATCTCAATGACTGAAAGGTGGAGAGCTGCGCTCGACGACAATAAAATTGTCGGAACGATATTTATCGACTTCAGAAAAGCCTTCGACACCATCTCACACGAGCCACTTCCCCTTAAACTCCAAGCAGTTGGAGTTATGGGCGACTCTTACAAGCAGATCTCAGTTTACTACATTAAATGGCTCATCCTTTTCAACAAAACCTATAAATTACGGAGTTTCACAAGGTTCCTTACTGGGACCAAGACTTTATTCAATCTACGTAAATAACCTACCTGACGCTGTTACCGAAGGTGAGGTCGAGATGTATGCAGACGAAACCACTGCTTTCTGCATCGGTGACAATTTTGATACTGTCACCCTGCGCCTGAATTTAATCTTTAACCAAATTTACAAATGGCCACAAAAAAACAGACTCTCGATCCATAACGGAAAAAGTGAAGCTATGCTCCTGTCCACAAAACCTTTAATCGGTCCCTTTCAAGAACTCCGATACGAAGAAAAGAGTATTGATTTGGTAAACTCCACCCGCTGCTTAGGCGTGGAAATTGACAACAAATTGTCCTGGTCATCTCACATTGATAAACTATGTAAGAGCTACAGGATAAAGCTTGGAGCTCTGAGAAGAATGCCACGCCTCCCCTCTTAAGTACTCGAAGAAATTTATTTGAAAATAGTCGTACCAGGAGTCACCTATTGCATTCCAGTATGGGGTGGATGCACCGCACCGCTATTTAATAAATTAGAGGAGATCCATATAAAAGCAGCCAGGCTTATTCACGACCTACCACGCGACCGAGACAACACCTACATCTTACAAAAAGCCAACTGGCTTCCATTATCATACATGTACAAAAAAGCTATACTAAAACACGTCCACCAAGCTTTTTATCACGCTGGCCCAGCACAAATAACGAAATTGTTTTCTGCGAAAGCGACAATGTATAACTCCCGACGATCTAAACAATTGGTACTGGACAGACCCAAAAAAGGAAAAGGCAGACTTTCTTTTGGACACGAGGAACTATGATCTGGAACTCAATTCCCATAATATATTGGGTTTTCTTTTAGATGTAAACATTGTAAATTAGTAATGCAGGTCCACAGCAGCCAACGGCTGCCAGTCTTTTTTAACCTGCGAGACCAAATAAAGTAAGTATGTATGTATGTAGGTAGGTAGGTAGGTAGGTAGGTAGGTAGGTAGGTAGGTAGGTAGGTAGGTAGGTAGGTAGGTAAACATTTACGGCGTTACGTGATTTCTGCACTAATTTGGTGTTCCATTTTCACTCGACTTCTCTATAATTAAATTTGATTAAAATGTATACTGTTGAATAGAAAAAAGTAATGAAAGCCGTTTGTCTTGCTTTAATTTTGTTTTCAACTCCCGATATTTCGAGCTATTTCAGTTTCCCTTGAAGGTTCGAGCTATCATATCGGATTGGACTGTACTTTTGTAGCGGAGTATTGCCGGTCTTATCGAGAATTGAATGCGATGGGAAACTTCTCATATTTCGGTTCCGCCGAAATAGGATCTCCCTTGGCAATCTACACATTTTTTGTATGTGTGTTTTAGTTAAATGCATAGTTAGAAAAGAAGAGGACCACCTATTTATTAATTAAGTTTAGCCTTTATATCAGACCACATCATCCCTCACAAAAAACACTCACCCGTCTTTTTTCACCAAGCCAATCTTCGAGCGAATTGCTGAAGGAACACCGTTGTTCCATTTGTCTCCATCTTAGTTCTGCAGTTCGCTCGCTGTATGCCTCCTTTAAGTTAACCTTTGGATTAGCTTCCTTAGCAATTCCATCATAAAAATATATCTTTTTCATTCTATCCTTCGTCTATCTCGCACGCGAATGTAATTCAAATTTATAACGTATGTCATAAATTAGAACCACTATTAAGATTTATGACGACTGAATTAAGTCCACGGTGGGAATCAATAAATGAACGATTTGTTACTGAGAATAAGAACGGAGATCATGGTTTTCACCCACAACTAAGAATAAAGTTCCGTCGAGTGATTGTTTTTTGGCTAGTTATAATTTCGCTGCTCGTCTCAAAGATGGTGAGTTAGAGCTTATTTCCTTCGTGCGGAAGAGTGCTCAGGAGACCACCCTGAATTTCTACAGGCCATTTCTTATTTCTGTTACAATTACCTGTTTCGTTTACTAGAGTCGTCCTGTATATCGTGCCAAGCAACATGTTTGGAACTACATTAAAGGCAGTGGTTATTCGAACAAAAAAGACAACATGATATAATGAATTCTTGGGAGGTTTAATCTTAAAGTTAGTAGAAACAGAATATAGACAGTAAAAACTGTTTGTAGAGTTGCAAAACTGAATCAATCATTCAAACCATGGATTGGCTAAGTCGCGTTTTGAATAACCCTACTGAGGGGGTGATTAAAAGTACCTTCTATGTGAGGCCTGTTAGACTGGCTGATATATAGTGCTGACTGAACCAATCAGTTCTCTGCCATATTGAATTAAATTGAAAAGAATCTCCAAGAGAGCGGAGAGGGATCTAGTGCCAATCTTCCCTCTGCCCTAATTTCCAACGATGGCGTCTGCGTGCTCGCGTAGAGTTGTGAAGACTATTCACATCTCCTCTATTATTCCCAACCTAGCGGACAATCTCACTAAACGTTTACCGCGAATTAAATTTATCAATGTTCCTGTTGGATGCAGTGGAGGTAAGTTTGCATGATTCGAAATTTTAAACCCATCATTTCACTCCGCAAGTGTGTTTTTGTTCTCGGCCCACATCATACCCTTCATGGCCCGGCCGGCAGAACAGGTGAAGGATTTAAGTTGGCCGAGCAGGGGAGCCTTGGAAGTGTATTCATAGCATTGAATCCACGAATTTTAAGTAGACATAGACATTCATTTTCATTTTTAGTTGAAGGTGTCAAAACGTCTTAGTCGGGGTATATTCAATTGGGCACGCCTCTGTGTTTCATAGCCGCGTTAGATTGTGGTGTTTGACAAACAGGATTGATAATTTGTCATGTACATATTTCACGTAGTTTTTATACAGAATATTTATTAGATACATATTTCTCTTTGACTGCGATGGATGTTAAATATACCCACAAGTGATCAGTAAAGGTGAAGTTCATTGGACCCACTAAGAACAGTAGTTTGTAACCATGACAACCAAATTGGTGACATCTGTTCAGACACCAGCACACAGCTACATAAATAACTAAGCAAACATAGTAACTGGTAGGTAGACTTACAGTGTAGTAATTTGAAAAAAAAATTTTGGAACATAAACAAAACCCTACTGTTAGCAAAGGGACAGCTGTCAGTTCAAACAGCCGTGGTGACATAATGCAACAGTTGCATCCCCTGGCAGAGTTATTTTGAGATAAATATGATTAAATTGCATGTAGCTAAATTCGTTCTTAATTTAATTTTTTTTGTTTTATTATTAGTTTTGTAGTGGGCAGTGTAGTTTAGTTTTCAAATTTGTGAAGAAGGTAAAAATCTGTAATCTTATTCTTACAGCAATATCTTGCTGGCATATTGCATTGGTTATGTGCTTTTCCCACTGTTTAATTATTCTTAATGAGTTTTATGAGTGATATTGTCCTTAATGTCGTCTGTGTGTAGAGGTCGAGATGCTACAAGAGGCTGAAGTCTTATTGGCTGATCCAGATACTGCACTAACACACCTATCTAAACTATCCAAACTTGAATGGATGCAGCTGACGTCGGCTGGAGTAGATAAAGCTATTCCATATATTACTTCTCAGCAAAACTCCTCACTGAAGCTAACAAGATCTGGTGGTATCTTTGGTCCTGCCATAGCTCAGTAGGTTATTGGTCAAATTGCCTCATGGGAAAGGGATTTCAGAAAATTATGGAGTTATCAACAGAAGTGTGACTGGTAGGAAACTGTATATTTACCTCGGTTGTAGCACACTTATTTATTATGTTTAACTTTTGCTTGGGTCAGTGAGAGAAGATGTAAGGTCTTACTAATAGTATATCATTGGTAACCTTCTGGTACTTCTGGGCTCAGTTGTTCATAGGGATCGAGAGTCACTCTATCCAAAAAATAATTAGCTCTCCAGTGAATAAGTCAGTTGTAGCACACTTATTTATTATGTTTAACTTTTGCTTGGGTCAGTGAGAGAAGATGTAAGGTCTTACTAATAGTATATCATTGGTAACCTTCTGGTACTTCTGGGCCCAGTTGTTTATAGGGATCGAGAGTCACTCTATCCAAAAAATAATTAGCTCTCCAGTGAATAAGTGTTATTACTATACATAATTTGCGCTATTTATCAGACAGAGATTTATTCCATGGATAGCAGTATCCACCCTTTAAACAACTGGCCGGAACTGAGTATTACATCATACTATGCTTGTCAGTTGCAATGAAACAGTGGAGTCGAGGACACATCACTGAAAATTTACTTAAAACTGCCATCCTACACTTTCAGAAACATATGTATTGTCTCTCTCTGATGGTTAAAGAAGCCGTTTTCTGGGTTTTGATTGGGAGGACTTTAATCCCTGTTTTATTGTTTTCTCTGTCAAGGGTGGCCCTGTCGACAATAGTTGAGAGCATTACAAAGCTAAGTTGTAACCTCAGAGTTTGCCTTTAACACATTAACATACTTAGGTATGCATATTTTCTATACTAATCTTTTTAAGGATACAGTAGAACCTCAAGGGCTAATTTTCAGAATTTTAATTTTCATGTTCAACTTAGCATTATTGTTTTCACTAAAGTTTTTAAGAAAAAATTGGGTGAAATATTGAAATGCACATGTCTTTTGAGTTATTTACAAAAATTCATTTTTCAACTGACTTCTTTAGCCCACCAAAGTGTGGATAGTCAATCATAACATGTCAACACGAGTGTCTCCCAAAGGGTTTCTTGCAGCAAGACATCTGAGTCCTTGATTTTCAATTGCATAAACATCTCCTGATTTCTGTTGCACATAGAGATATTTACTCTCTCCCTGGGTTTAAAACTAGAATGTGTTGCTGTTTCATACAACCGACAGAAAAAAACACTATAATCCTATGAACTCAGTTACTTTATCAAATGACATGTAATATTCTTACTTAATTAGGAGCAACAACAATTGAGTAACAATCCTCAATATCTTACTTTAGCCCTCAATGAACTATATCTTAACTCACTACCACTGCACAAACTTGCAGTTTTCTCTAAAGTTTTTGAAATTAGCAATCTTTCCACAACAGTTCCCTCTCCTGGTATGGCTTTCCAAACAACTATAACTACTACATGAACAAGTCCTTAACTACATTTACAAAGTATTCTGCAACATTCCAGGAGCTTACAAGTGAACATAACTATTTTGATGCTATTTCATCATAACAACAAAACCTAACAAACGGATGGAAAAAGTTCCTCACAAAGCTCATGCATGCAAGTCAGCATGGCTAGGTATTCTACAAATTTCTAAAAAAATTACTTTTAGTCACTCCCCATAACATGTAAATGGAGAAAGATAAAAAAGAAGAGTCGGTAGGTGAAAGTAAAAAAGAAGCCTGACGGTCAGTTCAAAGAGTAAAGAAATTTGACAGGGAATGGCAAAAGAATCTCACCAAAATGGATGAAGGCCTCTTGTTTAGGCAACCATCACCACTGGCAATCAATCAGTAACCATTAATTTTTTCTGCCGTGTGTTAAGCCACTTTTAAGTGAAAAAAAAAAAAGAAGAAGAGTTAAAATCAAAGTTGCCTTTCAGCAGAATTGAACTAAAGATCTGTCATGGGTAACTGTTTGATAGTTACATGCAAAATACCCTTTTGCTGAGAGTCTGGCCTCCGACTCTGCAGGATGCTTCTGTGTTTCTGTTGGTGGTGGGCATTTCTAGTTTTTCAGAGTGTTGGCATAACTTGACATGTGGTCACCCAAAGGTGTGAATTGTTGGGAAAACTTTGGAAGCAAAAAAAACCTACTTTGTTTTTACGTGAATGTGCCTTCTTTGAATGAATTTATCGGGTGTGAAAACTTTACAGATTGCCTTGAAATTTGGTCTGAAGACTCCCAAGATACCAAATTAATAAACTGTGTGGGGGAATTCCATTTTTCAAAATGGACATAATTCCTATCCATAAAATTTTGATCAGCGAACTTGACAGGTAAATTGCAAATTAACCAATAAGAATATTAAAAAATCTCCAGATGGTTTAAAAGACCAACCCCTCAGGATTGAAATTGTGCAGAAGTTTTATTTGTGTGGTCAGATCTAATATTCGATTAATGTACTAAAAAAAACCGTGCATTTTGGGTCGCTGTGCCCCTTTCAGTTTACAATTACTGATAGATCAAGCTCATTAGAAATGAAATAATTTTTGTTGAATAGTGTATTTCATAATCTTTCCATTGATATATTGTCTATGGTGGTTATGCTTCAAATAGTGCATTTTAAAAATTTTTTTTCAAAGAACACCTGCAAATCACTAAGTACTGTACTGTTAAATCTTTTTAATGTCCAATGTCAAAATTTGTCCAACAGTCTTGAGAGTTTCTTATTATTTGATCTTTTGATTCTGCAATTCCACTATCTTAATGTTTGTTTGAGGAATGAAACTGTAAGGAGAAATTGGATGCTGGTTGCTTATAGGGTCATTAAAATGCATTTATTATTATTTGGCTGTGTCTCACATTAGGACTGCGAACTACCAAATTCACAAAATTAATTTGATTGGCTGAAATCAATATTGAAAGCGGTCTAGATTTTCCCATCTAGACCGGTATCTAGACTGGTCTAGAAAAAAAGGTACAAAGAATATAAAAAATTGGCATATTTAAGACACAGCCATGTAATAAAAATCTTTTTAACCGAGCTAGGTTGGTCTGTATGGGAGAATCTTGACCCCAGTCACAGGTACAGACCTCACTGGGTTCGGTCTGTATTGGCTACTTCAGTCAAGATTCTCCCATACAGACCTCCTGCTCGCTTAATAAGAACTAAGTAATAGTAATCAGTGATCACAAAATTATTATGTAACCATACAAGCTGAGCAGGTTTACCATCATTTATATGTTCTTTTAAAAAGGATAAAAGCCACACTAATAAACTTGTAATCAGATGCACAGCAATGTGATCAAATGGTTAAATAGGATTTTAAGTGGCCTGAGTATAACTTTACTACCTTTGAGAGTCTTAAATGCCCATTAAATGTGCTGTAAGCTAATTTATTTACATTTGTTATTACTTAATTAACGCGAATTTGTTTAAAAAAAAAAACATTGTCAAAGAATTAATTTTTGTCATGAACTATGTTAAACTTCATGATGTGTACCGGTAATGTTTGTATTATTTACAATTTTTTTTTTTTCTCTCAAGGAATATGGAGTGGCGTTTTAATGCTAATTACCGAGTGATGCCAAAACTGACCATTGGTATTCTTGGCCTAGGAGACATTGGACAGTACATTGCAAAGATGTGTAAAGCTCTTGGTATGACTGTCTGGGGTGTTGGGCGTCGTGAAAATTCAGAGAGACAAGATACAGTTGACCACTATACAACCACATCAAGATTACCTGAAGTTCTACAGTCATGTGACTATATATGTAACCTATTACCAAGTACACCTGCCACAAAGTATCTTTTATCTGGAAGAGTACTTGAGAGTGGTAAAGACAAGTGCCCAGTTTTCATTAATGTTGGCCGAGGAAATGTTATAGATGAAAAAAGTCTTGTATATGCATTAGATCAAGGATGGATATCTGGTGCTATTTTAGATGTCTTTGAAGTTGAGCCATTACCAAAAGAAAGTCCTTTGTGGAAAATGCCGCAAGTAGTTATCACACCTCACATGGGAGCATTTTCATTTCCAGAGGAGGTAAATTGTACTTGAGCTCAAAAAAGTGAATACCAGGTGACTGGTTGCAGCAACAAGATTTGAATGTCTCTACAACAGAATTTTGTCCCTGTAAAAAGTTGCAAATATTCAAATTTTTACAAAATAATACAAAATATAGTAATAGTACAAAATAATTCTTCACAGAGACCTGTCTCATCAACATATCACCTTTTGAACTCCAGTCTTTGTAAATCACAAAAACCTGCATTCACACAGTCAATTATGCTACCAACTCAAAAAATAATTTGGCCAATGTTAAAGAAAAATTTCATGTACTTGTTACCTTGAATTTACCCTTGTTAGCCTAATGATGATCTTTTACTTATTTATTAATGTATATATCAGTTTATTTGTTTGTTTTTAAGGTTGCAGATTTGTTTGTGGAAAACCTTTTGTTGTTTGAAGCTGGGGAAAAGCTCAAGTTTGAAGTGGATTTTGAAAAGGGATATTAATTATTGATAATCATCATCTTACTTAATTTTTTGGGTTGTGATTGATTTGGAGCATGCTAAGATAGTGATGGCCAAAATCAGATAAAAATTGAAAGTTAATAGCAGCTGGTTGTAGAACTCAAGGACAAGTTAGTAATTAGACTGAGTTCCATAGTGAGAACAATTTAAGGGATTAACGGGAAATTTTTCTCAAAATTTTATCTAACATTTTGCACAAAATCTCTTAACAGAATTATGTGATTGGAAGTCTATTTTCAAATTGATCAAATATCAGACAAATTGAAGAGACAAGAAGTCAAACACTTTGTAAACAGTAAGAAATAAAGGAGTTACTCATGTCACCATAATTGCACAGATAAACAAAAGGAGTAGCTAGGGAAGGTGGTCTGGATAACAAAGGCAAGATGAACTTGATATAACTTGTAGGTCAACACACTTTTCTAAATAAAGCAGTTCTTGACCCTGCTAATACTGTCATCATTACAAAGAGTAATTGCCGCCTGTGTGAGAAAAATTTAATTTTGCAGCAGGGTGTGGTTTATTCAACACCAATTGTGGAAAAAAACTGGAGGATTTCACTTTTTTGCATTCCTTGAAATGTTTTTTTTACTTTTTGGGTCCTTCTATCAGTTAGCTGTCAAAGGTCCCAATGTAATTTCCCTTTTGAACAATTCAAAAGGTGTGTAAACTTGCTGTTAGTTTTCTCAATTAAATCAAAATTATTGCAGAGCCACAAAGAAGTTTTTGAAAGATTAAGTAAGTAAGTAAGTAAGTAGTTTTATTTAATGAAGGTGATACATGATGGTACTAATTATTAACTCATGAGCCAGTGGCCCTCAAATAAAACTAAACAAAATATATATTATACAATAAATATAGAAATAAATCCAAAAATTATATATAAATAGGTTGATTTAAAAATGTGAAATATAAAAAGGTTTGTCAACAATAGTTGAATTAAAAATTAAGAATTATTATACATTATTTAGATAATCTATGAGCTACTATAGATGAAGGGTGCCAAGACATAATATTATTCATTTGTAAAACTTAGAATAGCGAATACCAAGTGTGTTCAAACATATAGATATCTCTGATCAAATCATCTGGAAAACATTATATCAACTTTCTATTTACTTAGGATGCCCCTTTTTAATGATGCTTTAAAGCTACGAATATCTTTAGATTCCTTAGTGTTTTAGGTAAGGAATTCCATTCGTTAATCGAACGCACGGTAAAACTACGGCTGCCCCCAGTAACATTCTTTTATATCAGGCGCCTCAGATTTAAATTGCTATATCTAGTGTTACTATCAGGAATATCTGAGTTTGTTTTCAAAATATCGTTCATATATTTAGGAGTGTTCTTCTTTATATTCTTTTATAAACCAGTGAGCTTCTGTTGATATATGCGTCTTGGTAGAGTGGGATCCAATTTAATGTCATTAAATAGGTCCACGGATCTTGATTTGGGAGGCGCATCCAGAGTTACTTTTGCTGCTCTCTTTTGAAGTCTTTAAAAAATGTTGTCGAGATCAGCCTTGTTTTTAGATGACCAGGTACTTGATCCACATAAAAGAGTGGGACTGATTACTGCGGTATAGTACCTTTTCCTGTGGGCGCTTTAAAAAGAGACTGATGTGCTTTAGAAGCCCAATTTTCTTATATAGCTTTTTACATAAAGTTTCAATAATTATGTGCATCAATTTCAACACCCAGGAGTTTATGGGTCCGAACTTGCTTGATCTTGGTATTATTTAGGTGCATATCAAGACTTCCTTCTGCTATGTCCAACTGCTTCCTTAAACGTTTTCTACTCAACAACGTGGATTTTGTTTTCGTTTCTTCTAGCCAAATTTCCAGTGTTTTCTAAATCCTCTTGCATTGATGATTTATCGTTATTCCAGCTTGAATATATGAAAGGATTACGTCGTCCGTGTAAATATCAATGCCAGAATTACTAACATGCAGTGGCAGGTCATTAACAAAAAGCAAAAACAATATAGGTCCAACAATTGAATCCTGGGTAGTCCTTGTTTAACTGACATGAGAGAAGACAAATATAGTGCCATTAACCTTAACAGACTCACTCCGGTTAGTTAGATACAATTCAAACACCTTGACAGTTAGAACAGTTTCGCCATATAATCCAGTCTTATCAAACAACTTTATGACTTAGCGGGTGAAAGTCCTTTTTGAAGTCGATAAAGACAAGGCCTGATATTTTGTCACTGTCCAGGTCAAACAGAAGTTTATCAGTGAGCTTGATCATTGAGAGCCGTCTCCGTCGAGTGATTCGGTCGGAATCCCGATTGCGCTCGGAAAATCAAGCCATTTTCTTGGAAGTAAGCAAGTAGACTTTGCAATGTGCCTTTCGATAACTTTAGAAATAACAGGAAGGACCGAGATTGGCCTGTAATTGTTGCAATCATCGCGGGGTCGAACCTTTATATATTGGAGTTACTTCTGCTATCCTCCACCTTGCTGGGAAAACACTTCTCGCTACCGATGCATTAATAAGTTTTAGTAGAGGTTAACAAATTATTGATGAGAGTTCTTTAAGGATAACGAACACTTAGGCCATCATGACCAGTAGCATTCTTTCAGAGATAAAAGGGATATCATTAAAGAGGTACCAGGCTGAATTCTTGAAGAAACGAAATAGTTTCGTTTGTCGTGGTTGCTTTGTACACTGTTGCTCTTATTTAAGCTTGAAACAAAGCAGATAAAAAAGTTGTTCATTGATTCTGCTATCTTGTCGGCATCAGTTAATCAGCCACTATCAGTTTTAAGTTCAGATATGTTTGGTAGTGGCTTATCTGTTCCACTAAGTTGTTTCAAAGAACGCCAGATACCTTTGGTACTTCCTTTATTACAGTCAATTGACTCACAAAAAGAGTTTCGTTCTGCTTTCTTTATCAAGTTAGCTGTTTTACAATTCGCATGTTTATAGCGATACCAGTCTTCTGGAAGACTTGATGAGCGTGCTCTTGTGAATTGTTTCTCCCTTTCTTTTATTATTTCTTTAATTTCTTGGTTCGTCGACGGTGGTTGACGTTGCTTTTTAACGCTCTTTTCAATCATAGTTAATTATGTTTCAATCACACATGAGGAATGTGTTAAAAAATATTCAATGTATACTCAATGTAGCTAATTGTTATTAAAATGATTTGTTATTTGTATAGTCTGCTTGCTCTTATCCTTTTTTCCCTCTCCTCAACCATTTTTTACTATCAGTCCTCTCCTTTATCTTCAAACTTCTTTTCTTTTGCCCTGCCATTACCCCAAATTTTTTCCTTCGGCTAATTTTCTTGCATCACCTTTTCTCCTGCATAACTTTTTCTACTCGTTGCCTTTATGTCCATCTTATATACTCATTTTCCCTTTCCTATGTGACCCCATCCCCCGTAAGTGTTGTCATTGCGAGGAAAAGCGACCATCTTTCTCGACCGTAAAGTTGATTTTGACAGCTTGAAATTCTTGTTCAGCGTATCGTCTTTCAAATGTAAGTATAATATAATCAAAGTATAGCGCACGCTCTGTTTGGTCAATTCAGTGTCCATCATTTGCCCATGGAACGCTGCTGACGCGAGCAAATGCAAAGACTAGTTTCCGCACGCTTGTTTTTTCTGGTGACGTAAGATTTTAAAGAGAACTATTTTGCTACAATGTATCAGTTTTATGTTATAAAACAAATGGTAAACACCACAGCGTACACTATTGAGTTATGGATGCACCTGGGAGGTTTGCCAAGCATTCAAGAAGCCAGAGTCGCTCTTGGCTATCGCCTCGCGGCCTCTTTCATGCTTAGCAACCTCCAGCGTGCATCTATAACTCAGTGGTGTACGCTGATGTGTTTACCATTTAAAATGGCAAAAACTTTTAGGTTTCCTGAACACTTTTTAAAGGCGCAATAAACCAGATCCCTGTCATCAATTTTGACTAATCTCTCTGCCTGTATGTCTGACTAATCAGAAAGTTGACGTCCTTGGTATAGAAACCAAATATTAATATTGCTAATCTCCTGTATCCTCTTTCTAAAAGACACAAAGAATACACAACACAAGCTTTTCACACAGCAACACCTATTAATTTATCTAATTTATTTTATACCTAAAAACAGACAAAATACAATTATAATGATAAAAAGTATTCCGAACTATGTACATAAAAGCTGTCTTCAGCTACTTCTCTTCAATGTATCCATTGAAATTAATTGACAATGCTCTTCTTAACAAATCCTTTCAGGTTTTTCTTTCCATGAAAGTTAAAGCACCTCCTTAAAGTTCTCCTTCTTACAGGCAAAGATTAGGTAATGAGCTCGCGAGTCCTCTTGCGGTTAGAGATACCTCTTTAGATGGAGAGAACTGAATGCCCTCGTGTTTTGATTTCAAAGCCTGTCGTTTTGTTTGATAAGCTAGGCTCTGCCAGAGAAGGTTTTTCTCATTACTTCGGAGAAGGCTGTGGAGAAATGAGTCCACTCGTGATAAGGAAGGTGGTTAGTCGCGTAAAAGTTTCATCCAACTTACAGCCGGTTAGATCCTAACTAATTGCATAAAATCAAAACGATTTTTTGACACTTCAAAATAAAGAAACGTGTCACTAAGTAACTAGGTAACTTTTCAAGAGCTCAGGTCACCCGTAAGACCTTTTGAATACCGAAATACCGAAAAGTGAGATTTTAAAAACCCTCTTCTACGACTGAACGCGTGCATTCCCAGGTATTTTGAATATCTCTGGCGGAAAAATATACCCTAACATCACTGCGCATTGTCAAAAAAACCTTCGTCGGGGGTGGGTAAGTACAAGGAAGGTAAAGAACTGATTTGAACCAAAAGACGTTGCAAAAACACCGGAAGAGCAATTGCAATCACTCGTAGGTCTCCTTCATAAGCTGGTACCTCTCTTGTGTAAGTTTTAATGCAACTGCTTCAAGAAAAAGCTTTCTCTGTAAAGTTTGAATTTCTTTTTCTATTTCTGTCATTTCAGTCTGCCTCGACTGCCTCATCGGTCACAGGTTCCGAGTTACCTGTCAGGTGACGTGGAAACTGATCAAGTAACCTGCCAACAAACATCAGAGGTACGTCAAAACATCGCCTTTTTGAAGTATTGAAAAGCTAACTATTACTCAACGCGAGAGAGCAAATGCAACCAGGGTTTCAAAAGAGTTTACTACATACTCAGATAATCAGCCAGCTGTTACCATTCAGGTGTTTGAAGGAGAGCGTGCCCTGACCGAAGACAACAATGAACTGGGACGATTTGAGCTGAGCGGAATCCCACCCGCTCCCCGGGGTGTGCCCAAAATTGAAGTCTCTTTGGATATTGATGCCAATGGGATCTTGAACGTGTCCGCGAAGGATCAAAGCACTGGTAGAACCAGCACCATCACTATCACCAACGACAAGGGAAGGTTGTCCAAAGCTAACATTGATCGCATGGTGGCTGAAGCCGAGAGATACAAGGAAGAAGACGAGAAGCAACGTCAGAAAATCTCAGCCAGAAACAGCTTGGAAAACTATGCGTATAACGTCAAACAATCGATTGAAGATCCGAACGTGGAGAACAAACTCAGTTCTGCAGATCTGGAGGCGGTAAAAAGCAAGGTGCAAGAAGTAATCGATTGGCTGGACAAAAATTTACAGGCAGACAAAGAACAGTTCGAAGAGAGGGAGAAAGATCTACAAAAAGTGTGTTCACCAATCATGGCGAAGTTCTATGAACAGCAGTAGAGCACCGACGGATCCTGCGATGGACCTACAGTAGAAGAAGTTGATTAACTAATGAGTCGTTACTTTTTGACATTCATGACTGTTTTTAAAACGATTAAGAGAGAAATAAGAGAGAAATTGGTTTTACATGTAGCTTGTGGATTTTCTATCATTTCTTGGATGTATTATATTGTAGAGTGTTGTTCAAGTGTTTTTTAATAAATAGTTGAATGTATGCAATGTATGAAACAACTTCTAGTTAAACGTTGCGATTCTGATCCTTCTTTGGCTATTTTGAATGAAAAGAAGCAAAAACAGATCAAAATGCACTTGTTATGGGCAATTGGAAGATATTCGAATAAAATAATCAGTGCAAAATAGTAAAGAGTTCAAAGTTATATTTCTTATGTTTCCATTACCATTAAAAGTTTGGTTGCGCCTACAGGGAATTTACATCCTGAATACTTTAATTTTTTTTCCAAAAAATAAATTTCCTTGTCTTACTGGTAACAAAGTCGAATGATGTCAAACCTGCCGAAGGTCCTGTGATTCATGAAATATTTCTCTTCAGGGCCCTTTCTCATGAGAAAAGGATCACTACTGGCTCTAATGACTTACACAATGAGCAGTCCCTCCTTTTCGGTGAAATCCGTCTCGCGAGAAAAAAAAATAGTGGAAAAAAATTGATGTTAGCGCTCTGCGAGGAAGTCTTGGAGTGACACCGATACGCCGCGGGAGCTCCATGAGTGATCGCCTCACTTATAGAGCTCCCGTTCCACTCCAAGAGTTCCCCGTAGCGTGCTAACATCAACTTTTTTCACTGATTGTTTTTACCCGCGCGACGGACTTCGCCGAAGTATACATATGACTTATATCTTGGAGTATGCCTTGGAACTCACCTGCCATACCTCATGTCCTGGATGTCTCCTTGGGTTTACAGCATTTACCAAAGATTTGGAAGACTTCAAATAAGCGACTTATTCCCCTGTAGAGTAATATCTCTATTTTGGACTAGCCTGAACCAATAGCAGTCATTGACATCAAAATGAGAATTTTTTAAGAGATTGATTTTGGATTCTGAATTGAGGAAATCAGTTCCATGCTTTATTCATTCAAATCAATTTCCCTACAAGAAAGATTGTGGAATTGACACTACTCTTTTAATGATAAGGATGTTACAGTCCTTTTGGAAAGCCTTTGATTTAATTTCCCACAGAACAGTAACTGCTGATACCGTTCTGTTGCCAGTACTTTTTACCATAATGGTAAAAATTAATGGTTGATATTACACGTACCTGTAGTATACTCGTAAAATTAAGCACCAAGGTCAAACCTAGTGTCCATGGAAATGCCTCTGAGGAGGTAGAAAATATCATGGTACAGGCAAAAAAAGACTCCAATAAAAACCAAGGAGCTTGTCAGAAAGAGAAGAACTAACCGAAAATATAGAACGGGCGTCACATCTCGAAAGCTTTCATCTCTGTTTAAAAAACACGATTAAAACCTTTATTACACCCATTTTTAAATCGTTGGTGATCCTTGCAATCTGATTGGCCTCCCTATTTCTTATTCTAATGACATCTTTTTTTCCAGCCAAGCTTTACTGACACACAAAAACCATCAGATTGAATAAAATAAAATATTTGCAACTTTTGACAAATCAGCCCAGTACTGGATGAAAAAAATATCTGTACGACTAAAAATTCCTGTATTAGAGAAACTGAATTTTTTTATTCCAAAATGGATGTAATAATGTGGTAATTAAATTTTTTGTCATTCAATTTTGGTCCGAAATCATACTTTGGATTTCAAATCAAACTCGCGCTGTGTGCTGGCATGTGCGCAGAGTATAAAGGGTTAACGCCACATGTTTTCTGGACAAAACCACGAGTGGATGGCACCTCATCCTCTCTTCATAAAACTCACGGCTCAAGTGATCGTGAGCTATTGTGCAAACTAGAGACTAGAGGCTAAAGTCGAGCTTTTCCTTCTCATTTTTGTTCTGGTTTTATATTTGCCACTATCCTTTCATCTGCTGCCAGCCTAAAGTACAACTCATAGCTTCCCAACTGAACTGAAAAGGCGCCGTTTTTTTTGTCTCCAAGGTTTACTTGTATTCAATTCTATCATTTGCAGCAACATGGTAAAAAAGGAAGAAAGGCTTTTCCCACATCAAGTTGGATGATTTTATGGTGGTGTAATGTAAATGGAAGGCGATATATTTTCTTCCCTTATTTCTGAGATATTTTAGGTCTTGGCGCTAGGTATTCCTTCGAAAACAAGTAAAAAAAAAATGACTTTTTTGCAAGAAATCATTTCTAATAGCTTTGGTTAGCCATCACAGGAAAATGGACCAAAATGAGCAACATAAATGTTCCAACAGAACTTTATTTACTCACCAGTTGGCTTTTAACATTAACTCGAATTCTACTATTGAAAGAAATTTGTCTTCCTTTTTTGTTCCTTTTTACATCCTCCGCTTTTTTACTTGATTCTCATAATACTTAGCTTAAGCCACCAAAACTAGCGTTTCTAATACTTTATTTAAGACATGTGTTTACGCTTGTCGGTCCTCTATTTTGAAAAGTAATTTCTTTTGAGATGCTGATTTATAAATTACACAGCACTTAGTGCGATCATCATAACGATAAATGAATGAAATTTCAGAATAAGTAGAGTCATATTTTTTATAAAACTGTGTGTCGGTACCATTTACTGTGTCCTTGACTTGCTGGACATCATCTCTCGGAAAACTAAATGTGATGAAGTAGGGCTCCTCGCGAGTAAACCTATCGAGGATAGGTTTTCTCATCTCATTGTAAAAGCCATGTCCATAGTAACGCCATCCTAGTCACTTCGATCCTACGTTAGACAAGAGACGGCACATGTTAGTGACCTCAACATGCCTAGGTCCAAGCATTTGCACCAGGATTTCTTGTGCACGTTGATAAAGATTCTTAGCCGTTTGCAAGTCACCTAAGTCATACTCTAGATGACCCAGGTTACTGTAAATATGAGCAATATCGATATGGCAAGGTCCAAGTTTTTCCAGCCTGATGGCTAGAGCACGTTCATAAAACTTTTTGGCCCTTCGAGCATTCCCTAGTGTTCGCTGTACATTTCCCAGGCCAACGTAGGAAAACGACACATAGAAATGGTTTTCTCCAAGGCATTTCTGCTGAATGTCTAGAGAGAGTTTGTAAAGCTTTTCTGCCTCTTGTGGATTTATCAACTGATATTCTATATTAGCCAAATGATGGTATGAATTTGCCATCTCGACATGCTCAGGTCCAAGATTGTTCCGGCGAATATCTGAAGCTTGATAATGATACTCCTTGGCCTGTTCTAGGTCACCTGAGGCACGATGGACCATACCCAATCTATGGTAAGTACGCGCGACCATAACATGCTTGGGTCCATGCCTCTTCAATTCAATATCCAGAGCACGTTTTAAATGAACTTTGGCTTGTTTTAGTTCACCCATTTGCAAGAGTACAATACCTAACTGGCTGTAGCTATAAGCAAGATCTACATCAGTCCCCCTTCTTTCAACTAGTTTCAAAGCTATGTCATAGTATGCTTTAGCGCCAGGTAATTCACAGTGATTTAGACAAATTGTTCCCAGTTTGCTTAAATCTGATTCTAATGCATTGGAATCGTTGAAAATTCCTTCTTCGATGACTTGAGTTTCATATTCGGTAAGAGAAACGTTTCCAATTTCTGGAACAAGTACGTTCAAGTGTGGAACGAGATGCTTGCTGTCAGCAACACAGTCCCCTTTGCACAAAGTACGTGGTAGGTTGATTTCTATGAATTGATTGAATGATTTTAAAGCAACAGCAACAGCTTGGACATGTCTATTGCGCTCTCGTAATTCCTTGATTGCAGATTTCATGACGTCATGTACTACTTGATGCACACTAATGAAAGTGCCGTTTTGTCTTTTTTCGAGCATCAGCAACGAATAGCCTTGGATCTCGAGAGCAGCTTCTTGTTTATCCAAGTGCTTGTTATCATTCAAAATGTAATTGGTAACGATGTCGAGATGCAAGGGCTGAAGAGCACCGAGGGAGAGGAGAGTAAATGCGCTTTTCACAACGTCGTTATTGTTCATCGCTCTTTCAATGGCCAGTCTTGTTGCTGCAGTCATAGATGCACTGTAGCTCGAGTTGGTCCGTGCTAGTTCCCTTTCGGTTACGGCCCGCATACCGGTTTTTAGGTTTGTTAGATACTCTTTCCAGCCGAATTTTCTACCAACTACACGTTCACGGATCTTTTTGACGTAGACACCCGCACTTGCCAAAGCCAGAGGTTGGTAATCTAACGCCTTTGCAACCTTATCTTCCATTCCATCTTTTTTTATGCCAGAGATCTTTGTTAAAAAGGAACGTGCATCAGTCGGCTTCATACCTCTGCTCACGGAAATGTGCGAAACAAAGGAGTTGTCAGAAGGGATGGATGAAGTGATCTGTGTTGTGATGAGCAATTGGCCTTTGGTCCATTGTTCGTTTCCAGGCTGAGGAAGGAAATCACGTATATTCAACATATCAGTAACATTGTCGATCACCAGGAGCCACGATCTATAGAACCGAATTTTTGCTGCTATCAAATCTCTTAGGATTTTCACTTTTTCTTCAAGCTGCATATCTGTCGAGTCGACGATGCACATCACTGCGTATTCAGGACACCTGATCTGTTGCGCCAGTGATATGTATCATCCCAAAAGCGTTCTTAAACTTTCAGCTCTTAGAGTCATCACGAAAGAAGGGGAATTACGGTCTCTGGTAGCCGTTTTGTAAAACTCTTCAGCAACCAGACCGGCAAGTAGAGATTTGCCACTTCCAGGGTTACCAGAAATATAGTAGAAGCTCAAACCATTTTTGTTTCTCTTTCTTAGACTTTTAAGCTGTTTCATGATTTTGGAAACCTCACCGTTGCGAGTTGCGATTTCGTGGAAAGGTTTAGGGGAAAGAATGCAAAATGAGGAAACATCGTTATTTAATTGTTCTTCAAGGAACAAGCAGTTTTCTTCTGAGGTTCGTAGTTTGGCATTAGTTTCGCACAGTTCTTGATAAAGGCTATTGACGTGTATCTGAACATTCTGAAGCTCTTCCGTTGGGAAACTTCGCTGTTTACGAATCTCTTGAATCTTGACAGCGGAAAGACCAAGACCCTGAAATGCAGTCTCAACTCTATCGACAGTAAGTATGAAAGCTTCCACTGACAGTTGGCCCCGTGGCATGTGAGCAAACTCTTCATTGCGAAACCGTCTGAGATCATCGACATGCGCACAAACCACTGGGCTAAGTCCGCGAGAGATAGAGTTGGAGTGAAGGAGTACAGAAAAGAACGTTGTGCAATCCCACTCTGCGCTATTTCCTTGTTTTATTTTCGATAGTAGACGAGCAGTAAGTTTCTGGCTCCCAGTTGACTCCTTGTTGTAGAAGTCCTGTCCATTTTTAGGTGTATCATTCCATTCTCCCGACGGATAAAGGCGATCCCATTCTTGTTTGAAAATTGATCTCAGTGCCGGTGTCAATATAGTGGTGACTATGTAACAAATCCTAAAGTAGTTTAGCTGCTCTTCGATGTAGACCATGTTTCCTGAAGCTGTTTCCTTTGTCAGTCGGAATATTTTTAGAAGTTTTCAATCCTGTTCGGAAACAACGTCAAAGCTTGAATAAAATTCCAGTTCTTATTAATGCTGACCTAGGAGAGTTTTTACTATTCTTATCATGCTCAATATCGGGCGTGTAAAAGGGAGCTCTTCAAAGTTGATTACATGAATTACGCTAAAACAGCATTCCCACCAAAATTTAAAGTGCGCACAGAGTTGTAGTTTATCAACTATATGTTATACCAGATATCTTTTCAAAGAACGTGCTGTTTATTTGAATGAAGTGTTTTAACCTCATTGTCAATTTGATTTTGTACCAACCTTTGCTCACAGTTTTTATGTTATCAGCTCGTTTTGAAGACAAATTTGTGTAAATCGATGACCGGCAAAGTTTGTATCTGTCGCAGTGTGTCGGTTTTATCTGGCATTTATTCTCTTATGAGACTGAAACCAAGTTGTCTCCTGTTTCTGAAAAATTTAAGTAGAATGATGACTTTATGGGAGAAAATTTTCTATTTATTTAAAAAAGAAGTGAGTTGTATGCATCCTTGTACGTCCGCTTAAAAATGAATGGTTTGCTTGTTAGATGTTGATTGACTAACTGGGTTGCAGTAGTTCATTAAAAGAGCTCTAAATTGTTCAATTTCACTAGTTAGCTGCAAGCTAAGTTAGGTGTTTAACTCTGCTCTGACCCGCTTGCGGGGTAAAATACCCATTGTTTGAATGTAACAATATTTTGTAGTGTTGAGGAATAACAATGAACTTGGCCGTAAACTGAATTCGCAAACCATGCAAAGCCCTTATAATAATAGCTTTGTGGTTTGTATCCTTTTATAGATATAAGTTTGGTCGTTTCTCTGAACTATGGTCGAGTTTGCGATCTGAAAACTATAATTTCATAACTTATTTCCGGTTAGTACCGCGGTAAAGTTACGCATTCAGTAATCTTTTTAAAAAGATAAACTACGGTGGCCCATAGGGGACATGACACATTTTTTTTTTATCGCGCGATAAAATCAAAATATCACGCGATAAATGAAAAATTATCGCGCGAAAAATGGAAATTATCGCGCGATAAATGATAAATTATCGCGCGATAAATGATAAATTATCGCGCGATAAATGGAGATTATCGCGCGATAAATGGAGATTATCGCGCGATAAATGGGAAATTTATCATTTATCGCGTGATAAATGGGAAACTTGTTAGGTCACGTAATCGGCTGTCACGCATGTTGTTTCCGTGGACGACAATGACTGCCACAGTTGAGGAGCTATGTTTTGAGGTCAACAGTTCGTTTTATTGATGTACAAAGATCATTTAGCAGTACGTTGCAATACTACGACACAATGCTCTGTGAATCAGTACAGTAAACCTTGATTTTGCGAAATCTTACGAGATGCCGAGTCAGGGATGAATGTCAGTGTCTGAGAACGAGAGTGGATTATCTAATCTTTCTGATTACGTTGCAGGTTTGTCAATTTCTAGAGGGCAGATGTGTCGACAAGAGCGTTGTTTCCAGGTTTAAAAAACCCTTATCGGTAATGAAATGAAACTGCTTTATAAAATTATTGGCTAACTATATATTCAGTCTAATTTTCATCTAATAGACTGCGGTCCGAGTCCGTTGAAATTTTGTAATATTTATTTATATTTATGATAACTTTGTGATGATTGCTAGAATTACACTATCGTGTCACACTAAAACCTTGAAACAAACTTTCATCAGTTTGCTCATCTTCCAGTCTATACTATATGCCCTCTAAATTTCATTGTCATTGCTCAAATATTCTATCAATTATTATATCAATCGATTCTTTGCATTCCTCCAAACAAAAAACACATTATGATCGTGACTGTACGCCAGCAGGATCCAATTCTTTAATTATGACTCGTACGGTCTCCTTCTGGACAACAAGACTGTAGTCAATTCTTGATCGCTGGTGCATTTGGCGATAACCAATACTGTTCCTGCATGGACAAATGCAACGGATTACCGGACAGAAGTTGACCTAGATGACATTGATGTGATTGATGGTGAATGCTGCGACTGAACAAGCCCCACAAATTGTTTGGAGGAACGCAGAGAATTGATTGATATAATAATGTAAGAGCGACAGTTGTAAGTGCCTTCAACTGCTCTAGAAGTCGGTAACCTTTTCGTGGATCTGGTTTATCACATCGACAACAGTTAGTTCAGTTCTTGTATGATGTTTTTTTCAAAGGGGAATAAATTACACCCGAAAACCTAGCCTCGTGTGTCCCTAATGCCACCCTCTCTTTGTGTGCGAGGCCTTTCTGGCAAAAGAGGACCGACAGTTCTGGTGACATATGTCTTAAAGTTACTGTGTTTATATTTCTGTGCGAAATAGAGGATACTTTAAAAGCCTATGAGCATTGTGAAACTACTCGTGTGTACGAAGTAATTTGACCTTATTCGGCCCGAGCTTTTTTTTTACCTTTTCAGACCGGGGAGGGAAGCGANTATTGCAACGTACTGCTAAATGATCTTTGTACATCAATAAAACGAACTGTTGACCTCAAAACATAGCTCCTCAACTGTGGCAGTCATTGTCGTCCACGGAAACAACATGCGTGACAGCCGATTACGTGACCTAACAAGTTTCCCATTTATCACGCGATAAATGATAAACTATCGCGCGATAATTAACAATTATTCCACGAGCGCGCGTTGGATATGAGATGATAGATAGCCAACGAGGCGCGTAGCGCCGAGTTGGCTATAATCATCTCATATCCAACAAGCGCGAGTGGAATAATTGTTTTATTAAAAACGTTCAATTAAATTAGTAAATTTTATTAAATTCTTAGCTCCTTTTAATCTTGAGCTGAAACGTACGCTTGCCATATTTGTAGATTATGGTAAATTGGCTGATAGACCATAATGGCTAAGCCAATAAAAAGTCTTGAATTGCATTAGCCAATGATCTAGTTTTTAATAATAATTATTATCGCGCGATCATATAAAATTATCGCGCGATTATTAATTATTTATCGCGCGATAATTCCCATTTATCACGCGATAATTCCCATTTATCGCGCGATAATTTCCATTTATCGCGCGATAATCTCCATTTATCGCGCGATAATCTCCATTTATCGCGCGATAATTTATCATTTATCGCGCAATAATTTCTATTTATCGCCCGATAATCTCCACTTATCGCGCGATATTTTGATTTTATCGCGCGATAAAAAAGAAATGTGTCATGTCCCCTATGGGCCACCGTAATAAACAACTCCACATTAGGAAGTAAATTCTGATTGGCAAGTTTCGCGCTCACGGTAAACCTAAGCTCTCAGACATACCTAAAAGCTTCTAGGTCATAAGCTTCTGTTCAAACAATCTGTTTTCATATTCTGTTAAGAAACTCCAGAAAGTGACAATAATTAAACCCTAGTGAGTCAGGTTTCAAAGTCAACTAATTTCCTTTGTTAGTGGGCAGAGGGAGAGGTCCCCCCCTTGCTTTTTTGTAAGTTTGTCCCGCTGGGCATAACACAGCGGTAAGATTTGTAACGAATCAAACCTCTAATCAACGAAAGAAAAAAAATCTTTCAAAGAAGAACTTCATAAACTTAAAATTCTGAAAAGTAAGCGTCATAGCAATTTCTCAAAATAAATCAGATCTCGTGATGTCCTCGAGCTCCTTGCCTGAAAGCTGGCTTCTTGACAATTAATTTCTGACAGACAGATTATGTCTCGTTTAATGCTCCCTGAGATCAAAATGTCACTAAAACCATGAAACACAGTCGCGCTTAGAACCTATATCATTAATATTTCTACCCTTTAATAAGTGTATTTTTTCCACCAGTCCAGGTTACTGAGTTTATTTTTATGTACCCCCTAGGCCTATTGACGTGACTGCACAAAGCGAAAGCTAATGATTAGCTCAAACAGAAATAATGGAAAAGAACTCTGCAGCTTTACAATTTTTGGGGGTTTTGCCCTTCAGTAATCCCTTCAACAAGAAAAACAGGATTAAAATTAATACGAATGAACACGTCGGTAACGTAACATGCTTAATAAGCAGATTTTTGTGGAAGTGACATCGTATTCCTTCTTTACTAAGTTTGCTTGCAGTGATTATATCCCTAGAATAATTGTATGAAAACGAAGCATCGTCTTCGAACTCTAGTAACGAAATAATTTGTTAAATTGACAGACAAAGCTCAAGTGATAGCTGCAATTTAGTATGCCAAGTCTTAACAAATGCAGTCGCTGATAAGGGACCAAAGGAAGACCAAGTAAGACATGAAGTTGATAAAAACAAAAACAATGTCACGCGTTATACATGAAAAGGATTCAGAACGGATCAAACCTCAAATGAACGAAAGACGAATCCTTTAAAAGCTTGTAAAATGTCAAATCCCTTCCTTTTTTAGGAAATTATACTGCATATGTCGTTTTGAGTTACATTCAGATAACAGTGAGCTAAGGGACACACGTTGCATCTACGATTCATTCTCAGCCACGTTGCGACCTCTCAGTAAAAACGCTTGTGGTGTTTAAGTGATCCTGCGCCTGCCTAATGAGCGTTTTGTTTGGACATGCACATGCAGATGATTCGGTCAGTAAAAACGCTTGTCGTGTTTAAGTGATCCTGCCTAATGAGCGTTTTGTTTGGACATGCACATGCAGATGATTCGGCCCACTCTAGATTAGAACTTTTTTTCGTTCCGGTTAGAATATTCCCAAAATCGTATTCACAAGAAAGTGGAATTCAGCGTGAACATTTTAAACAAAAGGGGGAAAATGTTTTGTTTTCTATAGGCGTTGAGGCTAAACATTTACTCACCATTTTGTACGTAACAGGATGGCAGCAACGCATTTGGAGAGGCAGCATCGTACTAAAAGGGCAATATCGATAAGTTATCCCTTATGATATAGCTTGTAAAAAATAGCACATCATTCTGTTGAGGCTTGTATGTTAATTCTGAAATGATTTGGCC